TTGAAATTAAATTTTTATAAAAAATCAATCAGGAATGAACTATTACCCTGTGAATGTTCTGAATATTTTGGATTATTCAATGGAGAAATATTTCGAGAACCTCTGGAAGTACTTCGGGAACGACAGGAACCTCCGGAAGTATTTCGGTAATGACCTCTAGAAGTACTTCGGGAACGACCTCTGGAAGTACTTCGGGAACAACCTCTGGAAGTACTTCGGGAACGACCTCTGGAAGTACTTCAGGAACAACCTCTGACAGTAATTTGGGAACGACCTCTGGAAGTACTTCGGGAACAACCTCTGGCAGTAATTTGGGAACGACCTCTGGAAGTACTTCGGGAACAACCTCTGGAAGTAATTTGGGAACAACCTCTAGAAGTACTTCGGGAACAACCTCTGGAAGTAATTTGGGAACGATCTAAGGAAATATTTCTAGAACAACTTTGAGAATTATTCACTTGTTTGCTATTCTTTCTAGAGTCTTTTTCACTCTAATTACTAACTTTTTTTCGCCTTGCATATTTTTTAACATTTTTTGGACTTCGGCCCACAAGAATTTTGGGCTTAGAGTGCTTGAATCATCATCAGGATTATCATCCTTTTTGTGGGATGTTTTAGATCCAGATGTACTATATATTGATTGACCTCTTTAGAATAAAATGATATTAAAATGTGAACTGAAAATAACCCGGTTAAGAACTCACATTTTTTTATTCGATTCATTGGAGGCGGCTTGTTCACTATATATTAATTAATTTTATCATGAAAAATTGTAAGTAGAAACCGTAAATAACTTTGAATAAAAGCTACTAACGTTTTAATGGGAGGTGGTATCCATCCTTTATAATCATTATCAGAATCATAACCACATTCTAATTCTTTTCCACACGGCAGTGATTTTTCATACATTAAGAAAGAAGTTTAGGCAAATGCTATGCTAAAAAGGTTAAAAAAAGATAGTTTTTAAATGAAGATAACTTTAGGTAAGAAATTTTAGCCTATTAAGTCATTACTATAAACGATTTTTTTTATTTTTTATTTTATTTTAAAAAGATCATGATAAATAAAAACATTACTTATTAAACTATTAAGCTGTGTTTTCCAATGATAATAAATGATGAATGTAAACCTTTATACTAATATTCTGTAACCATCGTAAAGACTTGAAAATAATACTTGTGGCAAACGTCACATAGTCACAATTTGTAGATTTTGGAATCCTGTCATGTAATTGACAGTTATTATATACAAATGATTGAAGGGTGATGATTGAAAAGAAGTGATATTATACATGCAGTATTTAATAAATGCATAACTATTATATGTATGTATGTAATAATTAAATGATTGCTAATATGAATGTCAAAGAGTTAAGCAATCACTGAAGTGACTACTATCTAGCCCAGTTGGCTTTAACTTTATTTCGGGTCTTGCTTGGCACTTGAGACACACACAACTTGCACCTTGGCTCACGACACACACAACTTGGTGGGTATTTTCTTAAGAAGATGCTTTTTAACTTTCCAGTCAAAGAGACTGACTAGCTTTCTTTATTTTACCTTTGCTATTTATCTAATTTCAACAATTATATACTCTTGTGCTACACTTAAACTATCTTTCGCATAATTAATAAAATAAACTTTTTAATTTCCCCTAATTTGTTGTCATTGATGATCACGATACCTATTGTACCCGATCTTACTTTTACCCCGAGATTATGGTTTTCGCCACGATCCCAATCGATTACATGATCACGTGAGTCGTTCGATCCATATTTCTGTTTTGCCTTGACATATTCTGTTTCATTAAACATTTCGCTATCTATTTACATCCCTTTCACTAAGTACAAGGGGTCTTTTAAAACTATGCGACAATGAATAAGGGGTAAATAGCAGACTACTAGACTAGAAGACAATTCTAAAGATGCAGACGCAGGATTTCAGTATTATTGTTATATTTTTCCTTTTCTTGAACAATAAGGTTTCATTTATTTATTTATTTTCTTTATATTATTTTATTTGGATTTTCCTCTCTTTGTTCTCACCTTTTTCTCATCTTATTGCTTCTATTTAGTTTCGGGCAACCACTTTTTGAAACCTTTCCACCCTTCTTACTCGATTGATTGTTCTCTATGACCTGGGGTTGGTTTCACTTTCATTTCATCCGTGTGTTTCTATCACCCTTTTTTTCACCTGATTTGATTGTTCTCTATAACTTTTGGGCTTAGGTAAATTTCACTTTTCATTCATCTGTGTGCTTCTAATTTAGTTATTCATATAATACTACCCATTGTCCTTATTATTATTACTTTTAAATTTTTTATCGTTTATTTGAGTTTTAATAGTTTTCTTATTTATCTTTATTTATTCTTATTTATTTATCGAAATTATTTTTATTATTTATTTATCTCTTTGTATTTGTTATATTCCTTAATATTTAATAAACTGTATTATTTTTATCTCGCATTCACTTAAAGCACATTACGCTTAGTGATTTGAACCAAAAAAAATTTCCTTAATCAGTTAACCGAACTAGTAATGTGCCGTTTACATGATAGCCCGATTTTTTTCGCGTATAGTACGTACAGTACATACAGTAATATATAGTAAATAATTAGAAATAGATCTGCATTATTACTACGGCAAAATCTTTAATACCAGGAATGGCGTAATGAATATCACGAAGTGTATGGCTTATTCGAGAAAGAAATTGTGAGTACCCAAAATTTAATATCCGATTGGTCAGTGTGATCATAGTTGTCACATCTTGTATATTCTTCACCCACTATTAAAATCATGACCCAAAGCCATGATCTGCATTGCTAAACGATCATTCACTGTTAAAATCTTTGCTAGTTCATGAATTTACACTACGTACAAAATCTGAATCCACCCATAGCTAAAATCTTTAAATTATTATTACTCGAATCATAAACACTAATTGACTTATTTAAATTATTAATTTACTTACTGTTAAAATTAATCTATTAATATTAAAAGCACCAACTGATCTACTGTTAAATAATAAACTTACTCGCTGCTCAAATCACTCACCTATTTTTAAAATTACCAATGCCCATTGTTAAAATCATTATTCTACCCACCATTAAAATTGTTAATCACCCATCGTTGCAATCTCTAACTTACCCATTCATTTTTTAAATTATGACCTTACCCATCATTGAAATTATAAAATATAGAAAACAGACAAATAAATCTTCACAGTGTCAAATATTAGTATAGAT